ATCCACTTACCTCAGCCTCCCAAAGGCATGGGATTACAGGCTGAGCCACCGAGCCTGGCTTTATCTTAACTGAAGTCCTGGTTATTACTTTGATTCTCACTGCCTGGCCCCAGTCTGAGCACAGAGATAGAAGTTTGTGGAAAGAAAAGAGGGTCAGGGAAAGCTTCAGTGAGGCAGAGAGCCAGAGTAGGGTTTTGAAGGATGGATAAGAAGTAGATAAAAAAGATGAAAAAAAGCCGGGTACAGCAGCTCATGCCTGAAATCTCAGCACTTTGGGAGGACGAGGTAGGAGGACTGCTTGAAACTAGGGGTTCGGCCAGGCTCGGTGGCTCAGCCTGTAATCCCAGCACTTTGGGAGGCCGAAGTGAGTGGACTGCCTGAGCCCGCGGGTTCGAGACCTGCTTGGGCAACTTGGCGAGACCTCATCTCTACAATAAATCAAAAATTAGCCGGGTGTGGTAGCGCGCGCCTGTCGTTCCAGCTACTTGCAAGGCTGAGGCAGAAGGATCGCCGGAGCCCAGCAGGTCGAGGCTGCGGTGGCCGGGAGCGGCCACTGCACTCCAGTCTGGGTGACAGAGTGAGACTCCAACTCAAAAAAAAAAAAGAAACTAGGGGTTCGAGACTAGCCTAGGCAACTGGGCAAGACCTCGTGTCTCTACAATAAATAAAAAAGCTAGCCAGGCCTGGTGGCATGTGCCTGTAGTTCCAGCCACCTGGAAGGTTAAGGCAGAAGTATCACCTGAACCCAGCAGGTCAAAGCTGCAGTGGCCATGAGTGGGCCACTGTATTCTAGACTGGGTGACAGAGTGAGACTTAGACTCAAAAAAAAAAAAAAAAAGACAAACAGTTGCATGTCAAAAGATCATGAATCACTAGTGGATTCTGACAGGGACTGCTGGTTGTCTCTATTCAGTGCCCACCTTCCCTTCTTCCTTAGTTCCTGAGCCACTAATTTTTTTATTTTTCGAGTTGGAATCTCACTCTGTTGCCCAGGCTGGAGTGTACACACGCTCATGGTCACTGTAACCTTGACCTGCTGAGCTCAGGCAGTCCTTCCACCTCAGCCTTCCAAGTAGATGAAATGACAGGCATGTGCCACCACACTCAACTCATTTTTTGATTTATTGTAGAGACAAGATCTTGTGAAGATACCCAAGCTGGTCTTGAACCCGTGGGCTCAGGCAATCCTCTCACCTCGACCTCCCAAAGTGCTGGGATTATAGGCATGAGCCACTACATTCGGAAAGCCACCATATTTTAAGGCAGCAATTAGTCGAATTAAAAAAGAAAATGTGGCTGGGTGTGGTGGCTCACACCTGTAATCCCAGCATTTTGGGAGGCGAAGGCAAGAAGAATGCCTGAGCCCAGGGTTTAAGACCAGCCGGGCAACATAATGAGACTGCGTCTCTATAATAAATTAAAAAATTGGCTGGGCGTGGTAGCTCAGCCTGTAATCCCAGCACTTTGGGAGGCCAAGGCGAGAGGACTGCCTGAGCCTGGGGTTCGAGACCAGCTTGGGAAACTTGGTGAGATCTTGTATCTACAATAAATCACAAACATTTATAGCCAGGTGTGGTGGTGTGTGCCTGTTATTCCAGCTACTTGGAAGACTGAGGCGGAAGGATCGGCTGAGCCTAGCAGGTCAAGGCTGTGGAGGTCATGAGCAGCGTGCCACTGGGAGACAGCATATCCAACTCAAAATAAATAAATAAATAAATAAATAAAAATAAATAAATTAGCCTGGCATGGTGGTTCGTGCCTGAAGGTCCAGCTACTTGGAAAGCTGAGGTGGAAGGATTGCCTCGGCCAAGCATGTCGAGGCTGCGGTGGCTATGAGCATGCCACTATACTCCAGCCTGGGTGAGAGCAAGACTCTGACACAAAAATTAAAAAATAAATAGGCTGGACTCGGTGGCTCAGTATGTAATCCCAGCACTTTGGGAGGCCGAGGTGAGTGGATTGCCTGAGCCCGCGGGTTCGAGACCCGCCTGGGCAACTTGGCGAGACCTCATCTCCACAATAAATCAAAAATTAGCCAGGCGTGGTAGCGCACGTCTGTATTTCCAGCTACTCGGAAGGCTGAGGCGGAAGGATCGCCGGAGCCCAGCAGGTCGAGGCTGCAGTGGCCAGGAGTGGCCACTGCACTCCAGTCTGGGCGACCGAGTGAGACTCCCACTCAAAAAAAAAAAAAATACATAAATAAATGAATAAATAAATAAAAGAAAATGTAACGTCCCAGTCTCTCTTGCAGCAGAGTACAATTATAAGATTAAGTTCTGATCGATGAGATGTAAGCAAAATGATGAGGGATTTCCAAGACCACTGCTTAAAAGGCACCGCCTCTGAGAGATATATACCCTTATTGTAATTACTTGTTCTTTTTGCTGCCTAGAGTATAAGTGGGATGGCTGGAGCTTAGGCAGCACTCTTGGAACACGAGGTAACCTTGACATGGAAGCAAGTGCAGAGGAGTGAGACAGGAAGACAGAAGACTTTGTGGAACTGTTCAGTAAGCTCTCAGTGGCCTACTTCCAGATTCTTCTATGTGAGACAGTGAATCCTGAGTGTTGAAGCCACTGTCATTTTGGGTTGTCTGTTAAATGTGGTGGATCTTGACTCTGACTTACACGGAAGGGATTGTTTGGCAGAGACCAGGAGAGCTCCATGTGGCAGTTGTGAGGAGAGGCCTCTCAGATAAGGTGACACCTGAGCTAAGCCTATTAGGATGTCCAGAAGTCTCCTGGACAGACTGGAGAAGCAGGCCCTGGTCTCTGTGAGGCCTCTTACCCATGGCAATGGCCGTCTTCCCTGTGCCCGGTTGGCCAGCAATGAGGACTGCCCGCCCGGCAATCTTCCCTTCTCGGATCATCTCCAGCACCACACCAGCTGCCCGTCGCGCTGCCAGCTGACCCACCATGCCCTGGGACGCCTGTGGGGTAGAAGGTGGGAGCACATGAAGGGACTCATGACTGGGCTATCACTGCATGCTGGCTGGTGAGATGGAAGTGGACACTGTTGGCTGGGACTTCCAGGAAAAGTCACAAACGCTTTCTCCATCCCATTTTTCAATACCAATTAACTCCACATGTGGCTAACATTTAACAATATGTAGCCAGCCAGGCTCAGTGGCTCAGCCTGTAATCCCGTGCTTTGGGAGGCTGAGGTGAGTGGATTGCCTGAGCCTGCAGGTTCAAGACCCGCTTGGGCAACTTGGCAAGACTTCAACTCTACAATAAATCAAAAAAATTAGCCGGGCTCGATGGCTCAGCCTGTAATCCTGTGCCTTTGGGAAGCTGAGGTGAGTGGATTGCCTGAGCCCGCAGGTTCGAGACCTCATCTCTACAATAAAACAAAAAATTAGCCGGGCGTGGTAGCGTGCGCCTGTACTTCCAGCTACGTGGAAGCCTGAGGCGGAATGATCGCTGGAGCCCAGCAGGTTGAGGCTGCAGTGGCCGGAAGCGGCCACTGCACTCCAGTCTGGGTGACAGAGTGAGACTTCAACTCAAAAAATGAATAAATACGCCAGGCTCTGTGGCTCAGCCTATAATCCCAAGCCTTTGGGAGGCTGAGGTGAGTGGATTGCCTGAGGCCGCGGGTTCGAGACCCGCCTGGGCAATGATACTTCATCTCTACAATAAATAAAAAAATCAGCCGGGCGTGGTAGCGTATGCCTGTAATTCTGGCTACTTGGAAGGCTGAGGCGGAAGGATCGCCGGAGCCCAGCGGGTCGAGGCTGCGGTGGCCGGTAGCGGCCACTGCACACCAGTCTGGGCGACAGAGTGAGACTACAACTCAACAGCAACAAAAAATAAAATGAATAAATAAATAAATATTAAAGTCCCCACAGACTCCAGAGCCCTGGTACCCCCTCCTGAGACCTCCATGGAATGGCCCTCACACTCAATCCCCCCGTGCTACCTGCCGAGGCTCCAAGGCATCGTCCAGTCCCAGTCCTCGGATGTGGGAGTGAGCACCTGTATGCAGGACAAAAACGGAGACCTGGTTACTGGCCAGCTTGTGGCAATGTGTGGCCTCAAGCCATGGGTCCTTTCTGAGGTCTGGTTTCCTTCTTGGTCAAAGAGGGCTGATGGCTGAACATGGTAAATGCTCAATAAACTGGAGCTGTTCCTAGAACACATCCTAGTTGGACTAAAATCACTGAGATCAGATTAAGCACATAATAGTACTAGAACCATCCACAAGGGCTAATGTTCACAATTGTTTTGTGTCTATGGCTTATACAACATACACAGGTTCTAATTTCACCAAGAAATTAGCCTGAGAAATTAACCCTGAAAAATAAGAGGTCCAGGTATTATCACCCTAGAGCACCTCTGGGGATCCAATGACAACTGCCCCAGATCCTAATAGATATAGATGGGCGGGGAGAGCTCAGAGTGGTTAGGTACCATGCCCCAGACCACACAGTCGTTGAGGTGAAAATGGGATTTCAATACACTAGAGGAGGGCTGAGCAAGCTACAGCCTTCAGGCTTGCCACCTGTTTGTGCAAATAAAGTTTTACTGGCACACAGCCACGTCCATCATTTATATATCTCTGTCGTTGCTTTTGCACTGAAAGAGCCGAGTTGAGCAGTTTTAACAGAGAAAAGATTTATCATCTTGCCCTTTAAGAAATGATTTGCTAGCCGGGCTCGGTGGCTCAGCCTGTAATCCCTTTGGGATTACAGCCTTTGGGAGGCTGAGGTGAGTGGGTTGCCTGAGCCCATGGGTTCGAGACCCGCCTGGGCAGCAAGACCTCATCTCTATAATAAATCAAAAAATTAGCTGGGCGTGGTAGCGCACGCCTGTAGTTCCAGCTACTTGGAAGGCTGAGGCGGAAGGATCGCTGGAGCCTAGCAGGTCGAGGCTGCGGTGGCCGCTCCCGGCCACAGTCTGGGCAACAGAGTGAGACTCCAACTCAAAAAAAAAGAAAGAAAGAAAGAAAGAAGTGATTTGCTGGCCCCAGTACTGGACTGTGAGCACCCCAACGACAGCTAGTGTGTACAGCTAGTTTCCACTGGGTCCTCAGCTCCCAGTGTGCCTGGTCCTTTAACAAGTAAAACAAATCCTGCGCCTTTGAGAGGCTGAGGTGAGTGAATTGCCTGAGTCCGTGGGTTCGAGACCCGCCTAGGCAACTTGGCGAGACCTCATCTCTACAATAAATCAAAAAACTAGCCGGGCATGGTAGCACACGCCTGTAGTCCCAGCTACTTGGAAGGTTGAGGTGGAAGGATTGCCGGAGCCCAGC